TTACTTACGGGTGATAGGGACTTACTGTAAGAACATAGGGGTGATAGGGACTTACTGTAAGAACTTAGGGGTGATAGGGACTTACTGTAGGAACATAGGGGTGATAGGGACTTACTGTAGGAACATAGGGGTGATAGGAATATTACTGTAAGAATTTACGGGTGATAGGGACTTACTGTAAGAACTTAGGGATGATAGGGACATTCCTGTAAGAACTTAGGGGTGATAGGGACTTACTGTAGGAACATATGGGTGATAAGGACATTTCTGTAGGAACATTAGGGGTGATAGGGACATTAATGTAAGAACATAGGGGTGATAGGGACATTCCTGTAAGAATGTAGGGGTGATAGGGACTTACTGTAGGAACATAGGGGTGATAGGGACATTCCTGTAAGAACTTACGGGTGATAGGGACAGAATGTTTTATTGATATCCATTGTTAAACTTCACTACTGTTACTGTAAGAACTTAGGGGTGATAGAGCCATCCTATAAGAACTTAGGGGTGATAGGGACTTACTGTAGGTACATATGGATGATAATGACATTACTGTAAGAACTTACGGGTGATAGGGACTTACTGTAAGAACGTAGGGATGATAGGAACATTCCTGTAAGAACATAGGGGTGATAGGGGACATTCCTTTAAGAACTTGGGGGTGATATGGACTTACTGTAAATGAACATATGGATGATAGGGACATTACTGTAAGAACTTAGGGGAGATAGGGATTTACTGTAGGAACTCAGGGGGTGATAGGGACTTACTGTAGGAACATATGGGTGATAAGGACATTTCTGTAGGAACTTAGGGGTGATAGGGACATTAATGTAAGAACATAGGGGTGATAGGGACATTCCTGTAAGAATGTAGGGGTGATAGGGACTTACTGTAGGAACATAGGGGTGATAGGGACATTCCTGTAAGAACTTACGGGTGATAGGGACTTACTGTAAGAACTTAGGGGTGATAGAGCCATCCTATAAGAACTTAGGGGTGATAGGGACTTACTGTAGGTACATATGGATGATAATGACATTACTGTAAGAACTTACGGGTGATAGGGACTTACTGTAAGAACGTAGGGATGATAGGAACATTCCTGTAAGAACATAGGGGTGATAGGAACTTACTGTAGGAACACAGGGGTGATAGGGACTTACTGTAGGAACATAGGGGTGATAGGGACATTCCTTTAAGAACTTGGGGGTGATATGGACTTACTGTAGGAACATATGGGTGATAGGGACATTACTGTAAGAACTTAGGGGAGATAGGGATTTACTGTAGGAACTCAGGGGTGATAGGGACTTACTGTAAGAATTTAGGGGTTATAGGGACTTACTGTAGGAACATAGGGATGATAGGGACATTCCTGCAAGAACTTAGGGGTGATAGGGACTTACTTTAGGAACATAGGGATGATAGGGACATTCCTGCAAGAACTTAGGGGTGATAGGGACTTACTGTAGGAACATAGGGATGATAGGGACATTCCTGCAAGAACTTAGGGGTGATAGGGAATTACTTTAGGAACATAGGGATGATAGGGACATTCCTGCAAGAACTTAGGGGTGATAGGGACTTACTGTAGGAACATAGGGATGATAGGAACATTACTGTAAGAGCATAGAGGCCATTGGAACATCACTGATAGAGCCTAGGGTTGATAAGGACTGTGAAAGACCCAACCAGGACAGGAGCTTTTGGAGGGGACTCGGGGATAGCCTTCTACCCACTGATTATGGCCCATGGAGGAGGCAGGGGATTTTGTCTGCTCTCTCCATGGGATCAGAGGCTGAACCAAGCTCTTTTCCATGTCGGGCAGAAGCAGACAAAATCCCCGATCTCCTCCATGGGCCATGATCAGTGGGTAGAAGGCTAGCCCTTAGTCCCCTCCAAAAGCCCCTGTCCTGGTTATGTCTGTCACAGGGACAATAGTGTAGGAGCCTAGGGGTGATAGGGACACAGAGAGTCAGTTCCTCCTGCGGACCACCAGGTACACTACTGCCTTGAAATCATTTTCGGGCCTCAAGAAACCCATCCAGAGCTTACAGTATGTTACCAATATCATTATGTTACAATTATTGAAATAAAGAAAGAAATATGTCAGCCTAGAGTTCTCCACACTCATAGTGGATTATACTGAACTTCAAAATGATGCAAATAAAAAAAAAATAATTTTCAGTAATAATCACAAAATAATCATTGGAAATAACCAAACTAAAATCAGTGAAGTGCCTCCTTACATTGGTGGTCAATGAGAAGAACGCCACCCTTATAGACATCCAAACAGATCCTTGTAGCATGCCACTGGTCATGCCGAGTGGTGTTGGCCCCGTAACTATCCATACAGATGACATGGAAGGTCAATTGGCCTCAGATCATGGAACCCCTAGCATCCTCTAGAGCAGGGGTGTCAAACTGGCGGCCCTCCAGCTGTTGCAAAACTACAAGTCCCATCATGCCTCTGCCTTTGGGAGTCATGCTTGTAACTGTCAATCTTGCAATGCCTCATGGGACATGTAGTTTGGCAACAGCTGGAGGGTCCCCAGTTTGACACCCGTGCTCTAAAGGAACCATGGATGAAATGACTGGGCTAGATGATGATGGATGTTCTCCAGCCAGGAAAGGAGGTGGGTTTCATATGACTTGCTGTAGCTTCTAATGCACACTGTGAGAAATCCTAAATTGATCTCCTGTGCCTTCCAGCATGCTGTCAGTGTTGTCTCTCACTGCCCCCAGATGTGAGGCGTGTGGTCCATTCCGGGTGATCCTATCCAGACAGGGAACATGATGGCATCACGAGCCATTTAAGGGCATGCTGCAAGAGAAATCCCATTCCTTCTCATCTCCAACTCATGAGATACGAGACCTCTTTACATTCCTAATGTTTATATATAGCAACTGTCCCTGCACCATCCAGGACGAACTTCATACACCGATCATACAGGGCAGTGTGCAGTGCAGGAACATACCTTCAATTTACACACCTCTATACCCTGGGGGGCCCCAAATCCGGGGATGTATACTATGGAGGTGACAGAGCTTGTGTCCCCTGCATCCTACAATATCTGGGGCTCCACCTAGTGACAGACATCTGTATCATGGGGGCGTGTCTAAGCCATGACTTGGAGAGGAGTCAACACCTGTAGAGGAGCTTCCCTGAGAGACTGGAAAAAGACAGGAGAACCTACCTGCACATTGTGGTGTCCTAATCACTGCATGACACTGGCTTCTATTGTATCAGAGAAAAGCCTGGTCAAAATGTACTGATCTACGCCATTCCTACACTAGCTGACTACTACACCTACCTACTACACTGCCCTGCCTGATACACCAAGCTGACTACTACACCGACCTACCTGACTACTACACCTACCTACTACACTGCCCTGCCTGATACACCAAGCTGACTACTACACCGACCTACCTGACTACTACACCTACCTACTACACTGCCCTGCCTGATACACCAAACTGACCACTACACCAACCTACCTGACTACTACACCAAGCTGACTACTGCACCTACCTACTACACTGCCCTGCCTGATACACCAAGCTGACTACTACACCGACCTACTACACTGCCCTGCCTGATACACCAAGCTGACTACTACACCGACCTACCTGACTACTACACCTACTACTACACTGACCCTGCCTGATACACCAAGCTGACTACTACACCGACCTACCTGACTACTACACCGACTGACTACTACACTGCCCTGCCTGATACACCAAGCTGACTACTACACCGACTACTACCTGACTACTGACACCTACCTACTACACCTGCCTGCCTGATACACCAAACTGACCACTACACTGACCTACCCTGACTACTACACCACCAAGCTGACTACTACACCTACCTACTACACTGCCCTGCCTGACTACACCAAGCTGACTACTACACCGACCTACTAACTGCCCTGCCTGATACTACCAAGCTGACTACTACACCAAGCTGACTACTACACTGACCTACCTGACTACTATACTGCTCTGCCTGACTACTACACTGACCTGCCTGACTACTACACCAAGCTGACTACTACACTGCTCTGCCTTACTACACTTACCTACCTGACTACTACACTGCCCTGCCTGACTACTACACACACCTACCTACCTTACTACACTGCCCTGCCTGACTACTACACTGCCCTGCCTGACTACTACACTGCTCTGCCCGACTACTACACCGACCTGCCTGACTACTACACCTACCTACCTGACTACTACACTGCCCAACTACTACACTGCTCTGTCCGACTACTACACTGCTCTGTCCGACTACTACACTGACCTGCCTGACTACTACACCTACCTACCTGACTACTACACTGCCCTGCCTGACTACTGCACCAAGCTGACTACTACACTGCCCTGCCTGACTACTGCACCATGCTGACCACTACACTATCCTGCCTGACTACTACACCTGACTACTACACTAACCTACCTGACTACTACACTGCCCTGCCTGACTACTACACTGACCTGCCTGACTACTACACCAACTACACTACACTGCCCCCTGCCTGACTACTACACCAAGCTGACTACTACACTGCCCTGCCTGACTACAAACACCTACCTGACTACTACACTGTCCTACTGACTACTACACCAAGCTGACTACTACACTGTCCTGCCTGACTACTACACCAAGCTGACTACTACGCCTACCTACCTGACTGCTACACTGCCCTGTATGACTACACCTACCTGACTCCTTCACTATCTTCGCTGACTCCTCCTACTCTACTGTCCTCCCTGACTCATCCTGCACTCACCTCGCTGACTCCTCCTCCCTGACACACACACAGATTGCTCAGCAGGTGACAGTGCGGCTCTAGGACCGCCCGGCGCCCCGCTCCTCCAGCTGTCTCCCTCTGTCTGTCTGTCCGTCCCGGGCAGACATTAATAGCTGCACACCGATCTCTCTGCACACCCCGGCACAGCGGGCTCCCCTCTCCAGCACCATGGGACCTTCTGAAGGAATCGAGCGATTCGACAGCACGGGGAAAGGCCGAGGCATGCGGGCCCTGCGGCACTTCGGTCTGGGGGAGCTCCTGTTCACCTGTCCGGCCTACACCTGTGTGCTGACCGCCCAGGAGCGAGGAAACCACTGTGAGCACTGCTTCTGCAGGTACCCCGCCCCGCCCGGCCCCGCCGCCGGAGAGAGCACAGCCCGGCCTGCAGGAGTGCGCCGCTATTCTGTACTATACGGCCGCCGCCACTGGGGGAGAGAGACATTGTATACCAGATCGGGGGGGGGGGGGGGGGGGGGGATGGAAGACGTATACCAGACCGGGGGGGGGAAGACATTGTATACCAAACCAGGGGGGGGGGAAGATACAATGTATACTGTGGGGGGGGGGGGGGGGCTCAGAGACGTCTACCTTGAGGGACTGCCCCCCCCCCACTGCCTCCCAGGCAGGGCCGGGGCCCCTCACTGTCCTCTAGCTGTAGCCCCCCCCCCCTTTTGCTTCCACTGCTGAAGCTGATGCCCCCCCCTGCTTCCCTTCCACTGCTGCAGCTGATGCCTCCCCCCCCCCCCCCTTGCTTCCACTGCTGCAGCTGATGCCTCCCCCCCCCCCCCCCCCTTGCTTCCACTGCTGCAGCTGCCTTGATGCCCCCCCCCCCCCCCCTTGCTTCCACTGCTGCAGCTGATGCCTGCTTCCCCCCCCCCCCCCTTGCTTCCACTGCTGCAGCTGATGCCTCCTCCTCCCCCCCCCTTGCTTCCCTTTGCTGCTGCAGCTGATGCCTCCCCCCCCCCCCCCCCTTGCTTCCACTGCTGCAGCTGATGCCTCCCCCCCCCCCCCTTGCTTCCACTGCTGCAGCTGATGCCTCCCCCCCCCCCCTTGCTTCCACTGCTGCAGCTGATGCCTCCCCCCCCCCCTTGCTTCCACTGCTGCAGCTGATGCCTCCCCCCCCCCCCCTTGCTTCCACTGCTGCAGCTGATGCCTCCCCCCCCCCCCTTGCTTGCCCACTGCTGCAGCTGATGCCTCCCCCCCCCCCCCCTTGCTTCCACTGCTGCAGCTGATGCCTCCCCCCCCCCCCTTGCTTCCACTGCTGCAGCTGATGTTCCACCTCCTCCCCCCCCCCCCCTTGCTTCCACTGCTGCAGCTGATGCCTCCCCCCCCCCCTTGCTTCCACTGCTGCAGCTGATGCCTCCCCCCCCCCTTGCTTCCACTGCTGCAGCTGATGCCTCCCCCCCCCCCTTGCTTCCACTGCTGCAGCTGATGCCTGCCTCCCCCCCCCCCCCCCCCCCCCCCTGCTTCCATTTGCTTCCCCCACTGCTGCAGCTGATGCCTTCCCCCCCCCCCCCTTGCTTCCACTGCTGCAGCTGATGCCTCCCCCCCCCCCCCTTGCTTCCACTGCTGCAGCTGATGCCTCCCCCCCCCCCCCCTTGCTTCCACTGCTGCAGCTGATGCCTCCCCCCCCCCCCTGCTTCCACTGCTGCAGCTGATGCCTCCCCCCTCCCCTTGCTTCCACTGCTGCAGCTGATGCCTCCCCTCCCCTTGCTTCCACTGCTGCAGCTGATGCCCCCCCCTCCCCTTGCTTCCACTGCTGCAGCTGCTGCCCCCCTCCCCTTGCTTCCACTGCTGCAGCTGATGCCCCCCCCTCCCCTTGCTTCCACTGCTGCAGCCCCCTCCCCCTCCCCCTCCTTCCACTGCTGCAGCCCCCTCCCCTCCTTCCCACTGCTGCAGCTGATGCCTCCTCCCCTCCCTTTGCTTCCACTGCTGCAGCTGATGCCTCCTCCCCTCCCTTTTGCTTCCACGGCTGCAGCTGATGCCTCCGCCCCCCCCCCCCCCTTGCTTCCCCCCCCACTTGCTTCCACGGCTGATGCCTCCCCCCCCCCCCCCCCCCCCCCCCTTGCTTCCACGGCTGCAGCTGATGCCTCCCCCCCCCCCCCCCCTTGCTTCCACGGCTGCAGCTGATGCCTTCTCCCCCTCCCCCCCCCCTTGCTTCCACGGCTGCAGCTGATGCCTTCTTCCCCCCCCCCTTGCTTCCACGGCTGCAGCTGATGCTTCCTTCCCCCCCCCCCCTTGCTTCCACGGCTGCAGCTGATGCCTTCCCCCCCCCCCCCCTGATGCCCCCCTTGCCTTTCCACCTCTGCAGCTGATGCCTTCCTCCCCTCCCCTTGCTTCCACTGCACGGCTGCAGCTGATGCCTTCCTCCCCTCCCCTTGCTTCCACTTGCTGCTGCAGCTGATGCCTTCCTCCCCCCCCTTGCTTCCACTGCTGCAGCTGATGCCTTCCTCCCCTCCCCTTGCTTCCACTGCTGCAGCTGATGCCCCCCCTCCCCTTGCTTCCACTGCTGCCCCCTGATGCCCCCCCCAGCTGCTGCCCCCCCCCCCCCTTGCTTCCACTGCTGCAGCTGCTGCCCCCCCCCCCTTGCTTCCACTGCTGCAGCTGCCCCCCCCCCCTCCCCTTGCTTCCACTGCTGCCCCTGCTGCCCCCCCCTCCCCTTGCTTCCACTGCTGCAGCTGATGCCCCCCCCCCTTGCTTCCACGGCTGCAGCCCCCCCCCCCCTGCATCCCACCCCCCCCCCCCCCCTTGCTTCCACTGCTGCAGCTGAATGCCCCCCCTCCCCCCTTGCTTCCACTGCTGCAGCTGATGCCCCCCTCCCCTTGCTTCCACTGCTGCTGAAGCTGATGCCCCCCCTCCCCTTGCTTCCACGGCTGCAGCTGATGCCCCCCCCTAGCATCCCCCTGCCCCCCTTCCATCCACGGCTGCAGCTGATGCCCCCCTCCCCCCCCCTTGCTCCCCCATTGCTTCCACGGCTTCCACGGCTAGATGCCCCCCGCCCCTGCAGCTGATGCCTCCTCCCCTCCCCTTGCTTTCCACGGCTGCAGCTGATGCCACCCCCCCTCCCCCTGCTTCCCCTGATGCCCCCCCCTTCCCCCCCCCTTGCTGCACGGCTGATGGCTGATGCCCCCCCCCCTCCTTGCTTCCACGGCTGATGCCCCCCCCCCTTGCCCCACGGCTTTCCTGCCTGCTTGAAGCTGATGCACCCCCCCCCCCCCTCGTTTCCACTGCCGTAGCCTCTTCCACTGCAGTAGTTGATGCCCCCCCTTTTGCTCTTCCACTGCCATAGGTGAAGATTCCTCCTCCCCCTTACACTGCCATAGCTGACCTCCCCCATTTTAACTACCATAGCTGAATTGCCCAGCCCATACCCCCCCCCCCCCCCCCCAAAAAAAAAAAAAAACACGCTCCATCTGCTATATCGAAGACCAAAACATCCCTCTTGAAGACCCCCCTTGCCTTCCATTGACATACCTGGGCAGCCATAAGACTGGAACATAGGGACAGCCAAGGAAATGAAGCAAATGGCCCAGCTATGGCCAGCCTTCTGGCTGCCCAGTTGTACAGGAGATCCCATCCACAGCAGTCTCATGTACCCTGTTCAGTGGAGTCCCCTATCCCTCACTGTATAAACAGACATGGCCACCGCTTCTGACTTCCTTTATTGCAGAGTATCAAGTGTCACCAACTTCTTCCCAGTTTGAAGCCTTTGGATGTGTTCCTGGATCTCTCACACGAGGCCTCCTACTGTTGCTCCTCTAATCCCAGCCGCTGTGTCACTAGTGTTTTTGTTTTTTTTTTTTTTTTTTTTTTTTTTTCTTTTTCTGCAGCTCTCACACAAGGCTTGATAGATTATGAGGCTGTGATTGGGACTGTAGGGACGTGTTGGTGACATGAGACATCCCACACACCTAGAAGAGTCAGATTGGGAGGATTCTAGTGGTATCATCTGTGCCAATGCAAAATGAGGAAAGTTTGATTCACTGGAGGGGATAATGGTGAGGATGGTCCTTGCCGTTTCCAAAGCATTGAACACATAGAGATATCAGAAGTGGTGGCAGGGTCTCTTCAAACATTTAGGACTTGTACAGTGTATGGGACTAATGCACTTCATGGTGTAGCACCATGGAATATTCACAGCATCTCTCTGTCCAATGGCTACTATGTCTGTGTTGTACATCTGATCTGCTCTGGCCATTGTTTTATTGTAAAGAGGGCTCTCACCATTGCTGGTACTTTTCTTCGATCTGCTTCTCTATTCACCGATCAGCTGCAAAACAAAAACCAGTACCTCCAGGTATAGAGGAACACGCCTCGCCCCCTCCTCCCAGTATGCAGGATGGGTGCCTGGGAAGCCAGATACTTGACCTAAGCCTATCCCATGGGTTTTGTTAGTCCAGTGGTTCTTCCAGTGTAGGAGCTCTGGCAGGTGCAGGGAATGGCAGTAGACCAAGTGAAAGATAAGAACCAGCAGTGATAGAGGGTTGGCATGAACCTGTTACTTATGTGTGGTTGGGCAAAGGACTTGGGAGATGGCAGTTGCCATTATAGACAACATCTGACCTCCATCTTTCTGATTGAAGAATTCTTTGGGCCTCATGCAGGCTAGGTGTGTAGACCCAGTGCATGAGGTTCTGCCACAGGCAGAAGGTACAGGCGCATCGTTCAACAGCAAATAAAATGCCAAGGGTCTGAAAGCTGCTGCTTGGAGTGCTATTAACATTTAGAACAGTATGGACCCAGGGACAAATGCCTGGAACTCCGGAGGCCTTTCTTTCTAGGTATTTGTCCCTGGGTGCATACTGCCCTAAACAGTGGTACCACCTAGTGCACTGTCCAATTACAGCAGCGTTCAGCCTCTCATAGAGTTTTTGAAGGCTGCTGGCAGTAGGGCTGGATGGGTGCATCTTTTCCTTCTGCTCCAGCAAAATGCCTGGATCGGCCACATTGGTGCTAAATACCCATTGTGCATGAGGCCTTGTTAACATGCATGCTCTGCTAAGAAATGTGTAAAGTAGGTGGACATCCCTGGCTTTTTTGTGGGGGAAATATATCTGGTATATGGCTCTCTTTTGCTCACTTATTGCCAAGGAGATTCGGTCAGTTGGGTGTCTTGAGTGGTTGGGAGAGTTCTCCAACAATCGTTGGGTCAAGTGACAGTTAATGAGAGACTTGAATTATGGTCTCCTTATTTTGGCTATATTCAGCCAGATGCAATGGCAATTTTATGTTCGTTTGGATGTTCCTGACATCCCTGAAAGTGCTTTCTTGGTGGACAAGGCAGTCATACAAGTTAGAATAACCCTGCTGGACCCTGCCTCCCACATAATCTGGT